TGTACACAATCTTTTTCTCAACAGGAAGCCAATGCAAAGTTCGTAAAAGAGGTTTAGCAGAGTCTCGCTTTCTTTTCCGTAAAACTAAACGTGCTGCATTGTCTTGAACAATTTGAAGTCTTTTAACTTTCTCCAGTGATATTCGTGATAACAAAGAGTTACAATAATCGAGTTTTGATAAAATTAAGCTAGTTACTAGTAAAGCAGTATACTTGGTATTGATCAGATGACGTATTTTACTAATTTTTCTTATTTTTAAATACATGCAACTGACCAGATGATTTACCTCAGCCGACATTGACAAACTAGAATCAAAATAGATGCCAAGATTCTTAACTTTTCTTGAAAATAAAATGTTTTGCATCACCAATTGTAATAAGATTAGTTATGGTATCTAGATCTGGCTCCAGCCAAACCCTACCTTTCTATAGATACAGATGGAATAAAGAAACGTGGTTATTGCGTTTGGCTTTTATTTCCTTTGAACTATAACATTATTCTTGTACTTGAAGACCACAAAGGAAAAACTGATGGTGTCACATGTTCCTACTACTACAACTTTGGATCCAGAGACTATCAGTTTCTTTCATTTGAATATAATTCTTTGAAGTCTTTTGTGTTCAAATGTTAACATATTCATTTCAGGGATATTTTAAACAGGTATCATTGTTCTTGTCTTCATTGTGTTGAACAGATGGGATATGACGAAAAGGGTTATAGTTTTGGCCGTCACAAGCCCTTGTAGTCTTCATTATATTTGTATACCTCTTCAACACTTTCAAACAAAAGTAGATAATTGAGAGGAAGAGTGCACAGGCTTGTGGGTGAATTTTAAATTTAGGTGTTTTTATGCCCCCAACGACACAATTGTAGATCATTTAGGAGGAGGGCTTCTGGCCCTACTAGGCAGACCAACCCGGGCTGAGAGGGATACAACACACTCCTGCAGAGAGACCGAGATACTCGATTAAAAATTAAATGTTTTCCCCACTTAGGAATTGATCTCGAGTCTTCTGCTTGCGATAGCGAAGCGCTTAACCGCTACACCACAGATTCTGATGCCGGCCTGTGGTCTGAGTAAAGGAAAAATGACGAAGGACATTATCAGGCAAAATTGTACCGTAGAACAGAATTAATTATTTCTCTATATTATAGTACACCTCGACATTGGCGTTACAGTGCACTCTACCACTGGCCAGTGTATGTGTCCCTTGCTACAGTATAATACGTCGTTATATAATTATAATAATAATACTAATAATAATAGATAGCATTTGTATAGCGCATATCCCCGCTCAACAGCAGGCTCTATGCGCTTTACACTATATTATTACCCCCAGCAGACCATA